TTCACAGAAACGTTATTGTGGATTTTTTCTTTTGCTATTAAAGCAAATGGAAACTCAAAAATTACGTTAGAAGTTTACCCAACTATGACGACTTCTGTTTCTGAGAACCCCAGAAATATGAAAAGTGTCCAAATCAGGGGTGTCCAAACCTGTTCCTGGGGGGCTGCTGTCCTGCAGAATTTAGCTCCAACCAAGCACACCAGAACCAGCTAATCAAGGCTTTCAGACTAGAAACTCCCAGGCAGGTGTGTTGAAGTCAAACTCTGCAGGACATCAACCGGCAGGAGCAGGATTGGACCCCCTTGGTCTAAAGCAGGGGTGCCCAGTCCTGTGTGTTTGATCAGGGTTGGAACTGAACTTTGCAGGAAGGTAGATATCCAGGAACAGGATTGGGCACCCCTGGTCTAAAGTGATGGATGCAGTGATGGGCATACTGTGAATTGATCAAGGTCCCACCTGCATGCAGGCTGCGGCTGATGCACATGTGTAAGTCATATACAGGCACGTGTGGTTATTTTTAATGGTTATTAAAAATAATGGTATGGTTCAAATAATGGTTATTTGTGGCATTTATTGTTCAATTAAGAATTTTTAACATCTATGGAAACTCTTCAGTGCACAGAAGGTTCTTAAGATTATTAAAAATGGTTTTCTCAATTAGAAAAAAAAAATGATTATTTTTACCCATTTTACCCAAAATGGTTCTACTAATAAAGGTTCTTTATTGGCATTGATGGTTCCATGAAGAACATTTAACATTCATGGAACCACAAAAAAGTTCATTGTAGTGGAAAAATTTTCTTCCTCACTGCATGAAAAAAAATGAACTGCTCTGTTGAAAATCATAGGCTTATGTTCAGTTCTCACTACCTGAAATGAGGAAGAAATGTCCTTTGCAAACAGCATGAAAAAATAAAAAAATACAGACTTATATGCACTCACATGTATTTTGATAATGCAAACCACTAATACTACTGACTTTAGTTTGTTCAAAAATGGCAGAAAAAAATATAATTTGGTAATTTGCCACCCATATGTTTCTTGTTGCTATAGCCATCATTACTATATTTATTCACTATACGCTGAACATCAATGCCCTTCACTTCCAAATCAGTGTGCATGTATAGCCGGAGTGTATTTTTTCTCATCATGCAAAGTTGAGCTGAATTGCCTGATTGCATGTAGGGTCTAGTTATATAAATAAATATTTAGCAAATGGACGTAAATATACAAATATGAAATTATGTGCCTAGAAAAAGAATTCTTCTTTGGGTCCTCCTGCTTTAAACAGTTGCTGCTGATACTTTTTTTGCTGGCTAATAGCATACTTGCCATCATTGTGATTTACTCTCTCTGTTATAGACCATTTATATTGATTTTTTTTTTTATTATTATATTTGAGTCATTTGTCTCAAATAAATTGTAAAACATAATTTGTCTGAACTTCCTTAAATGAAAACCAAATCTTTTAAACACTTATGTTTTATTTATGTGTGCTTAAGTGAACACAGATTATACTAAACTGCAATAACATATATTTACATAATAATTATTCTTTTTGTTGTTGTTTACAAAACATTCTGGCAACATTTGGCATACTTCATTTGGCATACTTCGTGAAGCTGAGCAGAACTCAGTCCATCACTGGTTGCAGCTTGTTCAAATCTCGCGATAACAAACGCGACTCGCCCTTGATAACACGCTTAGGAAACCCTGCACGTCTCTCTTCCTTTTGCTGTCCACAAGCGAGGTAAATTATACTCCGTATCTTTCTAGGTTCGAAAGTGACTTATAAGCATTGTTTGCCACTATTTTTCTCCTACAACCAACTTATTATGTAGTAGTACTTATTTTAACACTGGACTGTCAATAAAATGATCCAGAAATGCGTAGTTTTTTGAAAATTAAAAATGAGATCGCATGTTATGAATTACCGGTGTTCAATGGCTGCGCCCATGTAGCCGCATTGAGGCCTAGTCTACTCAACATGTATTCCTTGACCTAGCTGCAATAACAGGCGTTATTACTAGTAATTACAATTAATCGTTACATGATCTAAAACGCTAGTCTTGTAACTTGTTGCTTGTTAGTCACAAGAGTTTGGTGGTATGCTGTGTTTTCAGCGTCAGAGTAAACGTGGTCGTTAGCCGCGTTGCTATCACGATGCCTCTGAACGCACAAAACTGAGTTGTTACGTTTATTTTGTTATAATTATACTTTTAACAATAAGCTGATAATATTGTTTTCTGCAATATACGCTGTCTCTGGGCTTTCTCAAATATAGTTTATTCATGTTAGCTAGCTAAACGTTTTGCGTGACGTGACTTGCTCTTGTTGGAAATAACTTAAATACCTGTATGTGATTTTAATTCATAATTGATTATGGTTTTCAGATGCCAGGCGGTGGTGTAACAGTGAAAGACGTCAACCAGCAGGAGTTTGTCCGCGCGCTGGCAGCCTTCCTCAAGAAGTCAGTTCAACTGTCGTTGTCTTCAGTGATTGTTCTTATTTTTATAAGCTTGTGACACCATGATAAAATAGTTTTGGCTGTGAGTACTGAAGCTCATTTTGAACCCTGGTGTTTTGACAGGTCGGGGAAGCTGAAGGTGCCAGACTGGGTTGACATTGTTAAGCTGGCCAAGCATAAAGAGCTGGCTCCCTGCGACGAGAACTGGTTCTACATCAGAGCTGGTGAGTGTGATGTGTATTTTATAAAAGCTCATGGACATGCATGAAAGCAAGACTTTAATGCATTGCACTTTGTGCAAATCCATCCAAGCAGAACCTCTCGTACTGTAGAACCAGGATGCTGGCTATGCATTTGTTAACTTTAGCCATGCACCACACTATGCTTTCTGCTGGGGATGTGCAATATATTTATGTTGGGAAATCATATGTAATAATCTGAATCTGTCAGAAGCTAGTAAATAGGTCTTACAGTCAGTATTTCTGTGCCAGGTCTTTATGGAAAAGATCCCCATTTTGGTCCCAGTTGTGTTAAATTAAAATTGAAATATCGTAAATATTTGAGGTATACATGTCAGTGTTGTCCGTAATGAACTTTTAATTTGTATGTTGTCTTGATATCAAGACATGGTTTCATGGTTCTTGATAATTTCAAAATCATAGTAAACACTAATATGCTATTGAACATTTCGAAGTGTTTCTCAATTATTACATTGTTGTTTTCAGTAAGTAGTGATGTAAACAGGTCAGAAAGGGAAAGCAATGGTGTATATAAAAAAAAAACAATATAGACTTTTATAGACAAATGCTTTAAGTTCAAGTATGTACCAGCAGTATCAAGTGTTCAAGAAAACAATTTATTGGTGAAATGTGCAGCGAAATAGGCCTTGTATTTAAAATTTAAGAGATACTTTACCCCAAAATGAAAATAGTTTTTTTCTTGCTCTCATGTTGTTCCAAACCTGTATGACATTTATTTATTTTCTTGCGGAACACTTAGATATTTGGAAGAATGTTAATTACAAAACCGCTTCAGTTCCCATTGACTTCAATTCTTCCAAAATTCTTCTAAAATATCCACCAAACATTCTTCAAAATATCCACGAAATGTTCCTGTTTACATTCACGTATGGCGGTTGACTAACGAAGTTTACATTCATATATTGCTATGGTGTGCATTTTGGCCATTAAATGCATTTAACCGCTCAAATGCATGTATTTTGTATGCAGCAAGATTAGGGATGGGTATCGTTTACATTTTATCGATACTCTTATCGATACTATTTGGTGCAAAAAGATATGAAGTAAAAAGTTGTTGAAAATTTCAACTTATTTTATTACTGCTGAACTTTAGCAACTTCAAGTTCTTCAGTCAAGAGCAGCAGTTATTTTTCTCTTTGTTTTACTTTATTAACATTAAAGGAATAGTTCACCCAAAAATTAAAATTGTCATTTACTCACTGTGAAGTTGTTTTAAACCTGAATGAGTTTGTTTCTTCTGTTGAGCATAAAAAGTTATTTTGAAGAATGTGGGAAACTAAACAGTTGCTGGTCCCCAGTGACTTTCATTTTTTTTTTCTTCCTACTATTAAAGTCAGTGGGGGACCAGCAACTGTTTGGTTACCCACATTATTCCAAAGGTGAAGAGCTTGGGAAAAAGTCTGCACGCTATCAAAGAGTCATAAGCAAGATGAAAGCAATATTAGCAATTTACTGAGTAAAAACAAGGCAAACGTTTCGGTCACATGTTGACCATTTTCAATGCCAAGCTAACAATGTTAGAACTAGGAGCCATCTTAATTTGAGGAATTGCATGATAATTAAAGAGATCACATGATCAATCAGGACACGCACTGATCCAAAAAAAAAGAAAAAGAAAAAATATAAAAATAAAATAAAAATTATAACACCTAATACCAAAATAGCGTTTTGCGGATGCTGACCATAAACTTAGTGATATGAGATTTACAGGTATTCAGAGATTGACCAGTTCAAGAAGAGGTGGTGATTCTAACAAAAGGCTGTTACAATGTGAAGCTAAGTGGATCTATTATATGGACTGTGTATATACGAAGGGATTAAATGAAGAACTTCAATTGTCTTGTTTTTTTATGAATTGTACTTTAACTACAACAGACAACCATTGTTCTCCAATTTGATGTAGATTATCCATTGCTTTACATATACACACATTGTTGTTATTTGTTTATTTATCTTTTTTTTTTTTGGTATTATGTTATTTTTTTAAAAATTATTTTTATTTTTATATTTTTTATTTATTTATTTTTTGGATCAGTGTGTGTCCTGATTGATCATGTGATCTCTTTAATTATCATGTGATTCCTCAAATTAAGATGGCTCCTAGTTCTAACATTGTTAGCTTGGCATTGAAAATGGTCAACCTGTGACCGAAACGTTTGCCTTGTTTTTTCTCAGTAAATTGCTTATATTGCTTTCATCTCGCTTGTGACTCTGATGTTTGAGTGTGCGGACTTTTCAAGCTCTTCACCTTTGGGGAAACTTTTTTTGGTCTACGCACCTCAGTTGGATTATTCTGAAGGCGCGGTGAGTCTGGCTGCTTACCCACATTATTCAGAATATCTTTTGTGTTCAGCACAAGAATAAATAAAAATTAATACATGCTTGGTACAACATGACTAAGTAATGACAGGATTTTAATTTAGGGTGAGCTATCCCTTTAAAGGTGCAGTAGGAGATCTTGGAAAATGCTAACTTTAGCCTGATAGCACTGAAAGCGAACGTCCCACCCTCCCTGCAATCGCCGTCCAAAGCCACGCCTCCTGAAAGCATACGCACACAGACCAGTCCAGAATACCAGAGACAACATTACTACAATAGGCTACAGCAGCGGTTCCCAATTCCAGCCCATGTTCCAAAGTGAAGTAAACTTCAACTGATTTCCCCTGCTCAGGGAGTAGGGAGCAGTGGACACTGTGTAGGAAGCATGTCAATCGGAACACAATTCATGCACGTAGCTCTCTTCTAACGAGCTGGTTATCTGAATCAGGTGTGTTAACTAAGTGAGACATGGGGCGTGAGGACTGGAATTAGGAACCACTGGGCTACATCATGTCATTATTTATAGTACAGTTAGTAAAAGTACTACAATACCAGGAAGGAAGATCAGGTTGATGTTTGTCTGCCATTCTCGCTCTGTCTGCACAGTGTGTGTGAACGCACTGATGACGTATCCTGTGTGCGATTTGGGTGCGCAGAGGTATGCTAATACATACGTTGACAGGCAGGTAGGAAAGCCAATTAAAACGCTCGGACCGAGAGTTTTGATTGGACGAACATTTCTTGGTCCTATGCCTTCCACAGAATATATAAATACAGATAAATACATTTAGACCACTTAACTTAATGACTGCTATCGGGATGTGAAGAGACTTTCAACCAGCATAACAAAAAATGTTTCTGAAGACAATCACCTATTGCACCTATTAATGACAAGCGGCAGCATATGTAGTACTGCCGCTTTAAGAGCTGCACGCATCTGTTTTTCTCTCAACTGTTTACTGTCACCTTAGACATAAACACAGTAAATTATATGTAAACCTTGTGTTTTTGACAGTATTAGCTCAATCAGACGATAATTAAAGGGGTCCTATGACGTTGCTAAAAAGAACATTATTTTGTGTATTTGGTGTAATGCAATGTGTTTATGCGGTTTAAGGTTCAAAAAACATTATTTTCCACATAATGTACATTATTATTTCTCCTCTATGCCCCGCCTTTCTGAAACGCGTAGATTTTTACAAAGCTCATCGGTCTGAAAAGCGAGGTGTGCTCTGATTGGCCAGCAATCCAGTGCGTTGTGATTGGCCAAATACCTCAAACAGTGACTGAAATGTTACGCCCCTACCATACTGTGAAGGCCGTGTGTGTGACGAGCGCCTGTGCATCAAACAGATGCACGAGACAAAACCAGTAAAACCCATTATAAACGAGGCATTTGTTGCATCCAGTGCTCAAAACTCGAGTTTGAATTGTCAGTGGCAAATTCTTTAAATAGAAAAACGTACTTACAGGCTGTGAGTCATCAATTGCCAGACTGTCCTTGCGAAGTTGGAATTGCCCAACTTTAAAGAATATCTCTTTGGATTTGAGACTTTAGTCTTTGCAACTTTACAGATCTTTATGCACCAAGAGCTTGTAACACTCCAAAGAGAAAGGAAAAATTGAAATCGCATCATATGACCCCTTTAAA